TAAACCATTTCCTTGAATAATAAATCGATAAAAGATGTTCATTGAAGTGATAGTGCTTACTGCAGATACTACAACATATTTCAAAATTCTTATCTCACTATTTCTATGTACCAGATCTCACATCTTGGTTGATTGGTCAATATTTTATATATTTCCAATAACAAAAAGACAAAATTAGCTCATCTGAATAAGTCCTTTGGGAGAAACTTACAGCTGACCATTCCAATGGCCTCCACTTGTATAACTGCATCTGTGTTGCCGTTACTAAAACTTCATTTCTTCCATCTTCACTTCCAAGACTGATTTCTTCATCTTCTTTATCTCCTGCATTGTTTCTAATATTTTTTGAACTATGTGTTCTATTTCTGTGACCATGATGATGTCTATGTCTTTGATTTATTGGGTGCTGTTTTTCTGTAAGTTCCTGGTTACTGGGAGTATCTACAGCTCCATCATCCAGATCAGCTTTGCTATTTGAAGAAAATGGAGACAGCACTTTGTAATCTTTGTCAGATGGATTGATGCCACTTTGTTGCTTATTGTTCAAATCATCAGTCTTTGCAGTTGTTGAAAATGAAGCTACTGTTGTTGGTGATGAAGTAACAATGGTCTGGTCTGTGTTGCTGTCATTGTTGCGACTTTGGACAGAATCCACCAGATTTGTCTTAAGACTGGAGTTGTCTTTTTGTGAAGAATCTCCAATGTTTTCCAGTTCTGGCACTACATTGCTGATGTCAGTGGGGCAAGGTATATTGCTGCACACCTGAAACAAAATGAGTTAATCTAAAATAAAGAATTTCATTTCAAATGTCAAGAGCACTTCTTTATGTTTGATACAGTCAATTGAGACGTGTTCATAAGAGTCATACACACTGTAAATAAAGGAGAAATGTTTCCAAATCAATCAATTAATAAATAAAATCACTTCAAATCAAATTATTTGAGGCTACCCCTAGTAATGCATTACCTGTTGTGTCTTTGGTCTTGGGAGATGATTACACTTGTGACCACTCATACATTCTACTTGGCGGAACTGGATGCCTAGGCCACATTTTCTGGTACACTGATTGGTCAAAAAAGAACAAAAAATCAAAGAAAGTGAAAAATTTAAGTAAAAACCAAACTGACTTAAATATGTTCAATCTCGTCTAACAACTGTTAATATATTTTCAACTTAGTTTCATGTATTGATAACATTTGATATTACATGAACATATTTTAAAGTACAGCTTGCCAATTTATCTGACCTACCGCTGACCAAGGTCCAACCTGCCATTCCACCTTTACTGGACATGAATCTTTGTGATGACAGGGCCCAGTTTCCTCTGGTTTCACCTGGTCCTCACAGTCCTGATCCTCCAGAGCTATCTGCTGGTCCTGGCCCAGACTACGCACACAGATCACTGTACGACGATGCATGCCATTGTCACCGCATGTGACAGAACAGTGTCCCCAGGGTCCTGCCCACCATCTGATGATGACAATTTTGAGTTGATAAGAAAACAATTTTTTATGCCATCAAATAAACTTAATGCTAAATGCCCATACACAGTTAAGTGCTAAAATATTCTTTTTGTGACAACATGTTTTCTATATTTGAACTACCAGGATCCCTGGTACATTCCCCTCCCTAGTTACGCAATTAAACAGAATTTAAATCATTGATTATGTCACCAAAAAATGTCTAACTGACATGACCAGACAAACAGATCGTGTTGAGATCACTACAAGGAACCTTTGCATCTTGAAATTTTTGTTTTTAATGTTTATTGTTCAAGTCATTTGTGACCTGTTTCAGACCTGTTTTAAACAGTCATTTAAGCTCACAAAGGCAGCTACTGTGTCCCACGTCCTTACCTCAGACTCTAAAAAATATCATTATTATATATTATCATTATTTCAATAATTACCTTGCTGGACACAAGTGTTCATTACAGCTTTTCTGTTTGTCTTCAGGTCTGGATGTCATATTACAGTACTCATCATCCACCACACCCGCCTCCACCTCTGTACACACAACAACACGCCGCTGGAATCCTAAAAAGCAGCAATTGAATAAAATATAATGGTATACATTTTAAGGGAAAGGAAAGCAACTTGCTGGTGCAATGTATGTCCTAAAATGCCCCATTCATACTTACAGCTGTTTTAGATAAATTGGGGTATTTCCTCCATTACATAATCTAATTACAAATAGTGTTGGAACTAAGTTACCTCCACCACAGGAAGCAGTGCAGTGTGTCCAATCAGTGAACTCCCATAGGAACACTGGCTCCCTCTCTGTGGCATTTTCATTGGGTACTGTGTACTCAAACACAACGCCTGGGTTGATAGACTGGAACAAAAGCTAAAAGAACAAATGTTAAGGTATGATTAATCAAATTGTAAAGCGTTGTTATTTCAATGAAGGTGTTATAACACCTAAAATGCTTTTAACTTACGTAAATTATATACTAGCTCTTTATCAATTAATAAAAACATTTTTAGATATTCTATTCAGGTTTGTGTGGTAAGCAGATCACTGTTACGTCAGTTGCTTGAGATATCTGAAAAATGTTTTTGAAACAGAAAAAAACTAGCTACTGTATTTTTTAAGCACTGCAACTTGCCTGACAAGTCAGTATCTTCAACTCACATAAAAGAGAGGAAAAACTTGACAGTAACACATAATAATATCAGTGAATTACAGCAACAGCACAATTTAATTGTCTTGATAGCACAACCTGATTTTACCTACCATAATATGCAATGGTTCTTTGATAGGTCCAGCAGCACTGAAGCTCTCCTTGTTGCCAACTCTGTCATACCTCAGTGTGGTGCCTGCCACCTTGTAGTCCCCACTCCACTGAATATACCAGTGGCCATTGAGAAGATAGTCCCCTTTCTTGTCCTTTATAGCAAGATAGTTATTGGCCTCAGCCACCTCCTCAACTCGAATGTTCCTGGCTCCTTCTGGGATAACCGTGGCTTCCACATAGCCTGATAAATAGACAATGTAGTTGGTATATAAACAAGCAAACGTATCTAGAATATAAACAGATGATAAAATTACACAGATATTGTCTCACATATAAAAAATTTTTGACAAGACCTCTTTATGGACAATAGGGTAAAATTTGCACATGAAAGTTAACATTTTTAGTCTTCATTAAAGCTTCATGAAAACGGGGCCCACAGCCGCAGATAATGGAAGTGAGTGCTTACCTAAACCTTGTACATCTTTAAATTCTTTTTTGACTGTGGTACATGCCCTTCCATCACCATGACACACCCCACAGCGGTCTTCTTTAGCTTCAGAGTCTATTACCCAGTCACAACCAATATGCTAGAAATAAATGGTTACCACACAATTTCCTATTAAAAAGTGCTTCAGAAGCAATGATAAAATGAAACAAAAGTCAAATTTTCAACTAGCTCAATTTCAATAATACTAACATAACATACATGTTTTAGGTCAACTTGGGCATGTATATCTTGTTACAACCAATTTCAGTCTGTTAACTGATATACACTGGAAACAGGCCTGTTTATTTTTCCTGGAAAATCCTTGCACACTTACCCTACATCTTCCACTAATGCACATGTTTCTAGTCCCAAGCTTGCACGGAGTCCCATCTTTTACAATGTCTCTCAACATCACAGAGAAGAACTTGTTAACTGGTTTACAATGGAGCTGGCAGGGGTTCACTAGTTTAAATGAATTGAATTTTCATACAGGTTTAAATTAATAAAAAAAGTATTACAGCCATAAAACTGGTATATTACCTTAAATCATATCCAAAATATTTGGCAAATTACCAAAAATATCACCTTTAATTTGTGATGGTGTTTTAAAGCAAATGAAAGATAAAAGTATTCAAAACATAATTGTAATCATCTTAAACTATATATTATCAATGTCAAAAAGAGAAAAATTCTTACATGGTGAAGGAACCGGCTCCCATTCATATAAACCATTTTTGTAAGGAATGTAGTTAAACTCTGCACATTGGCTTTCTAAGAAATCTGGTTCTCCTTCTGGGCACGACTGAAAAAAAGGTCAGTCAGTTATATTTATATACTATAAATAAATATGGATTGGTTTATAGCTATGTAAACCTTAAAATGCATTCTAATAAAATGATCAAACAACAGGTCAATTTCAAACTATATTTCAAATTTTGTTAAAAATATCAACTAAAAAATTCAAATCAAGAAGGCATTTTTCTTGCTATATCTGCACCAAATGACACAACCATATATCACAAAAGGCTATTCACATATTTCTTTCTTCAGAATGATTGAAGCATTAAAATCAAGGACAAAAAACAAAGACTGTTTATACATTACTATGATAGATAGTGTACCAAGTAAGGTAATGGGGCTAACTTGACTTCAACCCTGACTGAGAGAGGCTGGTTAAGTTCAAATATGAAATGCTCTATAACCTCTTATAATGAAGTGCACTGAAACCAAATATTTTTCGGGGNTGGAACAAAATGAGTTAATCTAAAATAAAGGATTTCATTTCAAATGTCAAGAGCACTTCTTTATGTTTGATACAGTCAATTGAGATGTGTTCATAAGGAGTCATACACACTGTAAATAAAGGAGAAATGTTTCCAAATTAATCAATCAATATATATATATATATATATATCACTTCAAATCAATATTATTTGAGGCTACCCGTTGCATTACCTGTTGTGTCTTTGGTCTTGGGAGATGATTACACTTGTGACCACTCATACATTCTACTTGGCGGAACTGGATGCCTAGGCCACATTTTCTGGTACACTGATTGGTAAAAAAAGAACAAAAAATCAACATTCCCTCCTTTCTTTCAAAATCAAAGAAAGTGAAAAATTTAAGTAAAAACCAAACTGACTTAAATATGTTCAATCTCATCTAACAACTGTTAATGTATTTTCACCTTAGTTTCATGTATTGATAACATTTGATATTACATGAACATATTTTAAAGTACAGCTTGCCAATTTATCTGACCTACCGCTGACCAAGGTCCAACCTGCCATTCCACCTTTACTGGACATGAATCTTTGTGATGACAGGGCCCAGTTTCCTCTGGTTTCACCTGGTCCTCACAGTCCTGATCCTCCAGAGCTATCTGCTGGTCCTGGCCCAGACTACGCACACAGATCACTGTACGACGATGCATGCCATTGTCACCGCATGTGACAGAACAGTGTCCCCAGGGTCCTGCCCACCATCTGATGATGACAATTTTGAGTTGATAAGAAAACAATTTTTTTATGCCATCAAATAAACTTAATGCTAAATGCCCATACACAGTTAAGTGCTAAAATATTCTTTTTGTGACAACATGTTTTCTATATTTGAACTACCAGGATCCCTGGTACACTCCCCTCCCTAGTTATGCGATTAAACAGAATTTAAATCATATTGATTATTTCACCAAAAAATGCCTAACTGACATGACCAGACAAACAGATCGTGTTGAGATCACTACAAGGAACCTTTGCATCTTGAAATTTTTGTCATTTGTCATTTGTCACCCGTTTCAGACCTGTTTTAAACAGCCATTTAAGCTCACAAAGGCAGCTACTGTGTCCCACGTCCTTACCTTAGACTCTAAAAAATATCATTATCATATATTACCATTATTTCAATAATTACCTTGCTGGACACAAGTGTTCATTACAGCTTTTCTGTTTGTCTTCAGGTCTGGATGTCATATTACAGTACTCATCATCCACCACACCTGCCTCCACCTCTGTACACACAACAACACGCCGCTGGAATCCTAAAAAGCAGCAATTGAATAAAATATAATGGTATACATTTTAAGGGAAAGGAAAGCAACTTACTGGTGCAATGTATGTCCTAAAATGCCCCATTCATACTTACAGCTGTTTTAGATAAATTGGGGTATTTCCTCCATTACATAATTTAATTACAAATAGTGTTGGAACTGTTTTTGAACATATACTCATAAGTTACCTCCACCACAGGAAGCAGTGCAGTGTGTCCAATCAGTGAACTCCCATAGGAACACTGGCTCCCTCTCTGTGGCATTTTCATTGGGTACTGTGTACTCAAACACAACGCCTGGGTTGATAGACTGGAACAAAAGCTAAAAGAACAAAAGTAGAGGTATGATAAAACAAGCTGCAGTATGTTTTTATTTCAATGAAGATGTTACAACACAGAAAATGCTTTTAACTTACATAAATTATATACTAGCTTTTTATCAATTAATAAAAACATTTTTAGATATTCTATTCAGGTCTGTGTAGTAAGCAGAGCACTGTGACATCAACTGCTTGAAATATGTAACAAATGTTGATGAAACAGAAGAAAACTAGCTATTGTTTTTTTTTTTTTTTTTTTTGAAGCACTGCAACTTACCTGATAAGTCAGCATTTTGACTTACATAAAAAGGAGGGAAAGCTTGACAGTAACATAACAACATCAGTGAATAACAGGAACAGCACAATTTAATTGTCTTGATATCACAACTCAAATTTACCTACCATAATATGCAATGGTTCTTTGATAGGTCCAGCAGCACTGAAGCTCTCCTTGTTGCCAACTCTGTCATACCTCAGTGTGGTGCCTGCCACCTTGTAGTCCCCACTCCACTGAATATACCAGTGGCCATTGAGAAGATAGTCCCCTTTCTTGTCCTTTATAGCAAGATAGTTATTGGCCTCGGCCACCTCCTCAACTCGAATGTTCCTGGCTCCTTCTGGGATAACCGTGGCTTCCACATAGCCTGATAAATAGACAATGTAGTTGGTATATAAACAAGCAAAAATATCTAGAATATAAACAGATGATAAAATTACACAGATATTGTCTCACATCTAAAAAATTTTGACAAGACCTCTTTATGGACAATAGGGTAAAATTTGCACATGAAAGTTAACATTTTTAGTCTTCATTAAAGCTTCATGAAAACGGGGCCCACAGCTGCAGATAATGGAAGTGAGTGCTTACCTAAACCTTGTACATCTTTAAATTCTTTTTTGACTGTGGTACATGCCCTTCCATCACCATGACACACCCCACAGCGGTCTTCTTTAGCTTCAGAGTCTATTACCCAGTCACAACCAATATGCTAGAAATAAATGGTTACCACACAATTTCCTATTAAAAAGTGCTTCAGAAGCAACGATAAAATGAAACAAAAGTCAAATTTTCAACTAGCTCAATTTCAATAATACTAACATAACATACATGTTTTAGGTCAACTTGGGCATGTATATCTTTTTACAACCAATTTCAGTCTGTTAACTGATATACACTGGAAACAGGCCTGTCTATTTTTCCTGGAAAATCCTTGCACACTTACCCTACATCTTCCACTAATGCACATGTTTCTAGTCCCAAGCTTGCATGGAGTCCCATCTTTTACAATGTCCCTCAACATCACAGAGAAGAACTTGTTAACTGGTTTACAATGGAGCTGGCACGGGTTCACTAGTTTAAATGAATTGAATTTTCATACAGGTTTAAATTAATAAAAAAAGTATTACAGCCATAAAACTGGTATATTACCTTAAATCATATACAAAATATTTGGCAAATTACCAAAAATATCATCTTTAATTTGTGATGGTGTTTTAAAGCAAATGAAAGATAAAAGTATTCAAAACATAATTGTAATCATCTTAAACTATATATTATCAATGTCAAAAAGAGAAAAAACCTTACATGGTGAAGGAACTGGCTCCCATTCATATAAACCATTTTTGTAAGGAATGTAGTTGAACTCTGCACATTGACTTTCTAAGAAATCTGGTTCTCCTTCTGGGCACGACTGAAAAAAGGTCAGTCAGTTATATTTATATACTAAAAATAAATATGGATTGGTTTATAGCTATGTAAACCTTAAAATGCATTCTAATAAAATGATCAAACAACAGGTCAATTTCAAACTATATTTCAAAATTTGTTAAAAATATCAACTAAAAAATTCAAATCAAGAAGGCATTTTTCTTGCTGTATCTGCACCAAATGACACAACCATATATCACAAAGGGCTATTCACATATTTCTTTCTTCAGAATGATTGAAGCATTAAAATCAAGGACAAAAAACAAAGACTGTTTATACATTACTATGATAGATAGTGTACCAAGTAAGGTAATGGGGCTAACTTGACTTCAACCCTGACTGAGAGAGGCTGGTTAAGTTCAAATATGAAATGCACTATAACCTCTTATAATGAATTCGAAGTGCACTGAAACCAAATATTTTTGAGAGAGAGAGAGAGAGAGAGAGAGAGAGAGAGAGAGAGAATTACTCACTTTAGTATTGCATATTCTGTATCTTTTCCTCTCACCAAGGCAATATTTTCCTCCATTGGACGGACTAATAATAAAATTATATCTTTTATTTATTTACAAGGAAAAGTTTGTCCTTAACATTGAAATGAATGTATAAATTTTAAGAAAAATATTGTGCCATTTTCAAATTTCTTGCTTTTATTATTAATTTATAAGATATTTCATATATTTTTAAATCTTAAAGAATCGTATTGTTTTACATAAAAATATCCCTGAACTTCTGTTCTTAGGCTGAACTGTACATTCTTTTAAAAGTACTAGCAGATGCATGAAGATATGTGAGCATTCTGAAATTCAATATCAAGTAAAAAACAATTTTAACCTTGATTTTAGGTTGTTTAGTCGCCTGATGCAAGACAAAGTCCTTGTTGCAAAGTTTCAGGTCAGACTGATGGGACAGATAAAGACTTTTTGATACAGCTGTGCCAAAGCCCCCAGTGAAAGATTAGAGTGAGCTGTCGTAAACAGACGCGCAGCTGTTGGCAATATGATTATCTTCCACCCTTTTTAGAAAAAGTGATATTTGACTGATTTCCAATGCATTTTTTCACAAAGTCATTACAAACATGATTTACTGTCTCTGACAATGCTTCTCTAAACACTCTGGATGTGGTCGTAACAAACATGTTTGTCAATGTTTCTACCATCTTAAGCAGCAGCCAAAAGACTAAGTATGTGTCACATTGGTTGTGACAAATAACCATATGTGACACACCAACCATACCAGACTAGCTGGCAACCATGACCAAGTAAGACATTCACATCAGCACTCCCTCCTCCAGTCTGCAACAAGCCAGTCGGAAAACAAAAGAAACAGCTCCATTTTCCCCTCAATAACAATTACATTCAGGTTCACCTAAAATGCTTTCCAAAATATGTTGTTTTCCCTCCTAAGGTGATGAAAGAGATCTTAACAGAAAAAAAGCTATGGATCTTAAAAATCCATCTGATCACATTTGTGGTGAAATTACTGTTTTTAACTGCTTCACTTAAAGCAACAGATTGTTGGCTTGCTTAAGTAATTTGTTGATAAGTTTTTTATCACCTTGCTTATTTATCCATGAGTGATTATTTACAGTATCATTGAATATTTACAAGCACTCAATTTTGGATTTGCAATCAGATACTATTTAAAAGGACCAATTGCTTAGGTCATTTTCAAATATTGGCTAAATCTTATCAAACAAGGCTGAAATACTTCACAAGGGAAGCATTCATTTGGAAACTGAGAATTTAGAAATAAGTTTGCAAAATAAAGGTAATTTACAAACCTAGGAGTGTTTATGATAAATTCTCCGATATGAAAATTCTGCAAAACAGATGTACCTATATTGTTTCTTAAACTGATTTTGAAAGACACAGCCTGGATTATTTCAAATGATGGTTAAATATTTTAGTCATGTTATGGTTTGTTTTACAGTCAGTGTTTTTAACATATTAATTATTATGTAAGGCGCAATGCTCCATATAAGAAGTATATTGTCATTATCACTGCTTCCCTGTAAGCTACACTTACGGTGGGTTATCACAGTGTCTTTCAGAATACTTGACTCCTGCTCCACAGCTCCTACTACACCCAGTCCAGCCAGACCACATGCCCCAGTTGCCATCTATAGCCTCTGGCCGCTCTCCCATCACTGTACACTCTCCATTGAAACACCACTAAAACAAAGTACAGAAGACAATAAATATATCAATTCACAAGCAAGACATGGCTCCTGATTTTTTTCCATTCTTTAAATTTAAGATTATAAAGTAAAAAAGATTATTAATTAACTTGAACATTACAAGCCACTGAGTCACAGCTCTACAATTTGTGTCTTACAATGGCTTGCACCAAACTGTTATAAAATTTTCTTAGGATAGGATAAAAACTGTAATCATATAATTAATTTTCATTAAACTGTCACTACAGCTACTGTAATCATTATGGACGCACCATCTCAGAGTCAGATTCTGCCAGGTATCCCGTGATGTTCTCCTTACACCGCGTTCCTTCTGCTGCTGTCTCTAGACGTGTCAAGCAACGATTGTCAATACGACACCACAATATGGAACAAACATTCTAAAAAAAAAAAAAAATCAAGGGTAAAATTTAACACTGGGAAATGAGTAGCGAATTTCAAACTACCTAGCTAATTTTTGGCTTATATGGATAATGGGAAATTTCAGGAAAAATGATCAGGTTAATAAAACTTTCATATACAGAAACGACAATTTTAAAGACACATTCAGAGCAGATAATCCATGGACTAACTGGTCCATGGATCATATATGGCCTATCCCACTTAAAAGCCATGCTGCATAACCCCTTGGTGGTCTCCCTGCCTACCACACGCCAGGCGTGTAGGGACCTAGTAATGAAACGCATTGAATCTCAGCTCTGAATTGCTAAGGTCCTGTAGGGATGGCGAGTGTGGCAGGCGGGGAGATCATTAGGTGATTATGCAGCATTGCTTTTAAGTGGGATACACTATATTTGATCCGTGGATCAGCTAGTTCACGGATTGTCTGTTGTGAATGCGACTTAAGTTTTTATTCAACCAGTCACTTTGAACTGGATGCAGAGTATGCTTTCATAAATACTAAAACCAATTTATATACTCTGTTCTTTGAAAAAAAATGTGATTAAAACTTCAAATTAATTTAAAACAAACTCTGCAGTTGTAGGAGGCAACTCCAGAGATTCTCACGTGAAAACATGGCCTAAGAATTCTTTACATATCACTGAATTTGTTATACATAAATGCTGCTAAGGCAAAGTGCACAAGATTACCTCAATGCCCTTACAGTGTGAAGCCTCTGGCCCATATTGCAGACGACACTGGTGATCAGCATCGTACATGACACCTGGTGGCAAGTTTGTTTGCGCAAATTTGTGATCTGCAGGCTCGTCCTCCAAACAGTAACCCCAGTTACGACTGAAATGTAACAGTTGATTACATACCTATCTAGTAAAACTTTAAATTTTTCATTGCATAAACTCTTGTAAAAATTTCAATTGATATAATGCCACGTGGCTTTCAAAATTAGATACAAAACCCACTGCCCTCATCATTTAAAAAATCGTTAATTGGAGAGCACACAGAACTTTGTCTTGGCTGAAAATCTTCCACACAGTGCTTAGTTTCAGTGTCTTCAAATAAAAGTACATTACACCTTTTTTTACTCACTCAAGAAATCTTGTGATAGAAGTCCTACTACAATTAGACCATATCAAGGGCTTGTTGTCTGCTGTAAGCTGAGGTGCCATTACATGTTGATGTGCCCCAGGTACTGCCTCACAACCATTCTTCTCAGTGTCATGCTTCATGCCAAAACTGGAAAAATATCAATATCATTGCCAATGGATATACACTGTTCTTTTCTTTCTTATTTTTCTTTCATTTTTTAAATAAAAAAGAAAATAATATCCAGCCAAATTTGAAAACTTGTTTATTTTGAGAATCTGCAATTTTCAAAATCAGTTTGGTGAAAAATGCACAATTATGACATGGCAACACATGAAATAATGCCAAAACAAATGTCAGTGATGCTTTACAAGAGTGAGCTAAATGGAGCCCAGGTATAATATTGTTTCTGCAAAAATATTGACGGAGCTGGGCTCAATCTTACATGAATTTTACTTAAACTACAAGGGCAAGTGTCTTGCATTTTTATAATTCCAGCTTTCAGCATTTGAGACTGCAAGTATTCATTTCATTATTACTGCATTGTGTTCAATATTGAAACAAATTTTTTAATATTTAACAGATTTCTACCAGCTGAAGTAATTTCATTTTGGCAAGATGGCAAATTCTAAATAGAAAGAAGAGCCAAAAAAGGCATGGGTAAAAACGTTTTTAAATTGTTGAAACATTTTGACAACTTTTTCTTAACCAACACCATGTCCAAAATTTATGACTTAATGCTTTTAACATGGAATATATATGGATTTCGCCCTACAATGTCTTTTTCCTATAAATGGAGAAAAGCACGTGTAACTAAATAAAAGCTTATCGTTGTAATCTACTTACAATTTAAATGTGCATTTGAATCAAATCAATACGGCAGGGGGCTTCTGGCCCAAATGTATATTTTTGTAAGGAATTCCACCACTTCCAGAGGAAGGAAGCAATTTTGCATAATTTTTCCAAAATACCGCTTGAAAATGATGCTCCGTACTGTGCTAATGGGAAAGAAGGACATTTTTAGCTATTCCACCATGGCAATATAAACCTCTTAAAGAACTGATAAAAAAGCAGCACTATTATAAACAGAAGAGAACATGCATGAAAAGCATTTATTGACAAAATTACAATTTCTCCAGAAATTGTAGTCGTTTTTAAGAACAGAAAAACTAAAAGCATAACACCAAAGACCAAAACAGACACCTACAAACTTCAAAAGATGAAAAAGAAAGAAACAATAAAAATGCCAGTTATACTTCTGGTAACCATTTAACAAACCAATTAGGGGCAGGGGGAAGCCTGTCACATTCCAAACTAAAGGCACAGAGTACCCACACTTGGCTTTCGCAAAATTGTGCAAAGACAAAGTGGTTCTCCCCCACCCAGAGGTCAAACACTCAGTTCCTCAGGGCTTGCTATCTTGATGAGTTCTTTCCTGGATTAGGTGTTAATATTCTTTTCAATACATCCTCTTAGCGTGTGAAATTTGCCAGCAGATCATCAAAAGCTTGCTTCACAAGAAACAAGTGGGGGAACAAAAGACTAGAATTCAAGACCCAATTACACCTCTCTTGTCATCATGTTTCAAGTGACACAGCCCAACTTGACAAGAATTCCATCTTGTCCCACATCAGTAGTCTTGCAGGAGCATGTCTAATCATCTCTGTCTTCAGTATCATATAACCAGGACTAGACGCTCTTGTGTAATCTTATACGCTGTGTTAAACAGAAACCATGTAAGGGGAGCATCAATAAGAGGAACATATTATCCAGGTTTGAGACCAGAAGTAATGATGTTGGTAGGAAAATAAAGACTATTTTAATCAATTTTTTTTGGCAAAAGCCAAGCAGGTATTAAGAGATCTACAAAACAGATATCTAAACAGAATTTGAGAAGTTTCTCAAGATGACTAATTGGAACCTGAATTTAATTTTTTTCAAAAACAGGCCTTTCATTGACTCATTAATTGAGTATACTTGTAATGTTTACTATTGTCGCATTATTTCAGCAAACATCTTTCTTTCCTGCAGCTAATTACACCAACTTCTTTGATCTTGACAGTTAGTTTAGAAAGCCTTATGCACTGATGTAACATTCATGTTCTGAACACTACTTACTTGTGCCCAAGTTCGTGTGCAACTGTATACGCCAAGGCTAGGCCCGTGTCCTCATTGATGTTGCAACTTCGGTGCGGCTGACATAAACCAGTTACCTCTGCCAAACCCAAGGTACTACACGGCTCATTCAGACGAGAACAGATATTGTACCTAAAAGTTTATCAAAAAGTTACGTGTGTAATAATGGATTCATTCATTCAATGAATTGACATTAAGTTTTCTGTGTATCTTAAGAGGGAGCAAAAGATCTTAAGGTGTATTAACTATGACAGTTCTTCTTTACATTTATCAGTATGTTTTTCTCCAAACAATATTATGGAATTTTTATATTCAGATAATTCTGGCTGGTATTTTGATCCCCAATATTATATACAGAATGGTGAATAAGGATGTCTGTCTTTTTGATTAAAAAATACTGTTGGAGGCATAAATTAATTGTGAGCATTCCTGGGTATATAGATAGCGCTTAAATACAGCTTGTTCACACAAAATTCATCTTACCGTGTAAGCAGAACAGCCACATCATGGTGGTTTGGATGGGAATCATCCTTAGGGTTCATTGAATTCTGCCATTTACAGAAACTTTTCAAAGAATTGTCTGCATGATTGTTGATCTTTAAGCCCTCCTGTAAGACACAATTTATGTTAAATGATTTGATATCAAAAAGGTACCTGGGGATGTTTAACCAGTCCAATACAGACTGTACCATATAAATTGATTTATCATGGTAACATTAGGGCAGGGTTGAGACATTTATAACACATTATCACTCAATTCAATGTAAGATGTAATGCATTAGGCATACTGCTTCCTGGTCTAAACATGTTGTAAATGAAAACAACCTATCATGCTTCAAACAAAGATAAAAGTGAATATACCACTGTTTATCTGTATAGCCAGTCTGCATCTTGTTTATAGAAGAAGAAAAAAACTGATGACCTTAAATAATCAATATAATATGCCCACCATCTTCATTTTAATAAATTCTACAAATAGATATATTTAGTTGGTGGGAAGAGGGGATCTAGATCCCATATAATCAGTTCTCCTACCTCAGCCTTACCTCGTCCTTTTTCAACAGTAACATCCTGACAATGACCAAGTTGACAGCATTACCAATACTGGCATCATGGTACATGATAGCTACCTGGAAGAAGACAATGAAAAAGATTAACCTGAATAAGGAGCTTTTCTTCAGTTGTGAAAGACAAAACCTATAATATCTCAGTAGTCCATTAAATAATGATTGCTGCCATTTCTGTCACTGGGCATGTCTTCTATCTAAATACCTTGGTTTCTTTTTGGACGTCATCATTTTTTTTTCTTACAAATTCGTTTACTCTCATAGCCATCTTTTTTTTTTTTTTTTTTTTTTGATAAATACAAAGATAAGGCACTGAGTTAACCTTGCACTGTTCTCTAGAAATTATAGAATCCATTTACTAATTTTTGGAAGTTTAGTCTTCATCATGCCAAACAATGCCAACGTCAATTAGAATTTTCTTCTTACTCTCCTCATTGAACACACAAATTAGTTTTTTCAATTTAGTTATTACAAAGCCCTGTGTGAGCTGATATTTATTGATGTCACCTATGACTTCTAACAGCTTGTGCACCTGACCTATTCTGGTTTTAAAAGGGGGAAAAAACAACGAAAATGGATGGGATGAAAATACTTCATCACTTACTTTGACAGCAAATAACACACAGCAATCTAAATACCAAATAAAATCTAACAATCCAAGAAAAAGAAACTGAACAATTATATGATAAGGACTATTTCTAGTTCAACAGAGCAACTTGCCTGCTTACATTCTTCACACAAATTAAATTTGGTGACTTGCTCAGCCCACCAACACTGTGTATAGATCACTAGCACCATCTGAGATGTTGCAGCAACAGTGAATGTGTACTGAATACTGTGCTACAGACCCCATAATCACATTTGCTCTAATGTTAAAGGAGCAAGGCTTGATCATGGTGATATGCTATTGTTACTTGTGAGAAATGGTTTCACAAGGCGCTTTAGAGTACAGTTAAGACATTAAGTTTAGTAGTATCTCATTAGATTCTTTCATTTCATTTTTCACCACAGAATACCAGTCTATTTTCATCTTTGACCCCACACTTAATGTCAGCAGCTAAGGTGGTTTGCGATCATCTTCAGCTCTATTTTCTGAAAGCTTGGTATTCCAAAAAAAAAAAGGGGGGGGGGGATCAGTATTCTGAAGGTTTGGTATTCCAAAAAAGTTAATTGATGCAATAGCTGCATCAAGGGCGTAATCAGGGCCAGCACTGACCTCAGTGTCAAAGAAATGTATTTAAGGGTTTGTTCATATTTGCATTTATTTTTTGCAATCTACCCAGATTAATAATTCCTTATGATAACAACTAAGAGTTAAAATTTATAGCGCAATATAATGTGTTGTAATTATGCTGGAAGTGTAATGAGAATATCAACTTTTGCATTATGTGAAGAATGAAATGACTTTTACAACATAAGTACCGACTGGCAATTTGTTTACTATACATTGTTTGCAATTTTTGCGCTCTACTTGTACCTATACGCAAACCATTGGAATATAGAAGCGCACACCAAACCATGATCTGTTAGATGATTAAGTGAAGTAGCAATCACAACCGTAGTGTAAATGTTTCTACTGAGAAAGATAAGTTTTTTTTTCAATCAGACAACCACAGAGCATAGCAATTAATTCTTAAATATTAACATGATTAAAATTATACAAAACTTTTAAAAACAATTAAGGGAAAACCAGTTTGCACTTTTCAAACATTTAGAAAAAAGAGTTGGACACAAAGCCAATTCTTCCAAAATGTTGAAAAAAAGTTGCAGATAGCAAAAAAATTGTTTGTGCCTTTTAAATTAATACACAAAAATATCCAATTTCTGGAAAAGTGGCAAATAAGTAGTCTGGAAAATATCCCATTTGCAGGAGAGTGACCCTAGCAGAACTCACTGCCAGGCTAAAATGGTGCTACCAGGAGGTTGGCACCCAGTCCTCAGGCTTCTAATAGTAAGATGGTTTGCTGAGAATATATGTAGTAAGTTTGATCTACAAAATTTAAATGAAATGTGTCTTACTACAATTGGAAAGTAAATGGTATTTTTTGCCATTTGTGTTGAGACATAAGGTCCACAAGGTCCTTAACCATCAAGTTTATCTTCAAATCAAATATCCTTGAGAATTACTGTCTGTAACAATCACAGGTGAATTAATACCGTTCTCAAATCTTCTAAGCACTTGTTTCCTAGCTGAAGCATAATATCACTCAGCATGGAAAATTATCAGGGTAATCTGAACCGACACTCTGAAATGTAATTATTTTCATCATTTTAGTTTTTAACCAAAAAAAGGTAATGAAAATGTCCAGCTGTGGACCACCATTAGAGCTTGCTACATGGCTAATTCTGCAAGGTATTAACAAAGCTTGCTTTCACAGTTCAACAATTTAGTTGCAAACTTCTCAACCTTAGGTGACACACCAAATCAAAGTAACAAGTGGTGGCATCCCGAAAGGCGGTGGTCCACAGGCTTTTTCCCCCTGCCATAGCAAGTGTTTTCATAGCTTATCTGTAGTAAAATTCTAGTCCAAGAGGATGTGTACAACACACTAACAAATAAGTTATAAAAGGACAGGATTCTAGAATTACTGTATACTGTGCCTTGAGTAAAAAGGAGAACAGTACTACTGCAATTTTGTTTGCGTTTAGCCATGATCTAAGTGGGGTTAAAACAAACTGTTTTTCCCAAGCAAACAGAGAATTACAATCATTTATTATGACTTGTGTCCCATGTTATTGCAAAGCAAACAGACAGAATTATGTTCACAACGTGTGGGAACTTATGACCAATTAACTGTTTGTCTGGTACATTTTCTGTGGAAGTAAGACATTTCTTAGCATTTGAGCCCAAACTCAAACCCAGATTGTACCTCTTGACTTTTTGACCAGGTTAAATCCTGTCAAACATAAGGGATGTTCTCTTCTAATGATGATTTGTTGACATTCAATTTATACTTACTATTTAAACTGCCTTGAGTATTTAGCATTAGGGTTCGAAGTGGTCTTTATAGCATGTACAAATATCACACCTGATCATTATATTGCTATCATAGTGCTCAAAAGGTCAAGGCAAAAAAGTTTTGTACCTATTACTTTCTAAAGCTTGGCTAATCAAGGGCAAGATTAAACTAGGGAGAAAAACTATTTGCAAAAATCACCAGTTGGAGGTATTTGTCATACATTACCATGAGTATCTTGGAACCCAACTTCAATTTTTTTGTTCTACATTTCGATAAATGTATGTATATAACAATGTATTGATATTTGCTTTGCTCCATCGGAGTGATTCATCTTATATTGAGAGCTGAAGTGAAAAAAAAATGCCATGCTTTCTGTATGTCTATGCCAAAAGTTTCCATTTCATATAACCCATAAAGGGACCTGTAAAACAAAAGGATTAACTATTTTCTTCCTTTTTCACAGTACTTTTGCAACATAAGAACTGCTCAGACACACAAAAAACATACATCTGTCAGTGGTTGATATTAACCCATCTCTGCCTTGGTTTTCCCTAGTAACAGAATTAAGTCAGATAGCAAAAACTAAAGGGTTAAAATCACCTTACTGTCTCCCAGCCCCTGGCCTAATTAAGTGATGGCAGATGGTTGGAGGTTAAGAATGATGCACTCAGTTGTTTTTCTCAGTACAATCCAGGTCACACCATTATGTGCCATGGGAATCTCAAAGGGCAACTGTTAAACCATTTCTCTCACTTTTGGTTATAGGATTAGTAGTGTTCTGGATTTCTTTTTCTTAGAAATAATTGAATTGAAAAGGCCCTGCTGTTGTTTTTCAGTTAATGAAAAAGGAGAATTTAATAAATTTTTCAATTCAATCCAATGAAAATATATATTAAAAAATATATGTAACTAGAGGATCAGAGAAGCGATACCGCCTCCGAATATTGTACCACAAGCTCGAGCACGCGCCTTCGTATANTATATTAAAAAATATATGTAATAATGTGTAATTTTGCTTTTTCTTTTTCTAACTGCAATGGAGGTCCAAATGTTGCTTTCACTGCAGAATTCAGCAGCAACAAAAATAGAATTGGACATGCATGAAATCAATAATATAATTCAGTTGTTCAGGAAACAAACCAATCAGTCAAACTCTTGTGCAATTTCTCTTTGGTAATGATCATGATCCTGATATTTCCCAGGTTTGGGGTAACTGAAAACCTTTGTTTACTCTTCACTGTCCACTTCTCAACAAAACAAGTCCCTATCCCTCCATTAATTGCTGTCAACTTACATAACTAGCAGACTGCCTTTGGGACAGCTTTGATCTCTCTCAATCAGACACTGGATAGATCTTCCTTGTCTGTTTCCTAAGTAGTTTACCATCATTCTATCAAATTTTCAACCCTAGCCATTGGTCAATTTTTCACTGAATGAAATTCCAGATCTTCCTCAGTGCTATTTTTGGAGATGAGAGGTAGTGAAGGGCAGAGCAGGAAGATGAAGTGAATCTTCTCATTTATAGTGGACTCACTTTAGTACTGAAAATCTTAGTCAAATATCAAAGTCTTATAATAAAAAATTTTCTTTTCTTTCATTCTTTTTTCTCTTTCATTTTTTTCAAAAGTCTCATTGATTAGATTCATAATTTTAGTTCATCTAAAATTACCACTTACATGTAGCTGAAAGAAGTTCAAAGAAAGCAAACAGAACATTTGCAAGATTGCTAGATGAAACTGCTATTACTTCCTAGAATTTTTCCTTGAAACAACTAAAGAGGTGAAACTTGGATTACAAGTTTTCATTTATTTATCTTGACCTCAATACAAATTTCATTTTAAATCAACTGAATGGAAGGAACCCAGCATACAACACAAGTGGCACTAAGGTAAAATCTCTGGTTCACATACTTCTATTATACTACCACTCCTACGTCAGAATTGGGTTACATGCTGGTCTTATTTTTATTTCTGCTTCTGAGGACAAGCATGGGTGGTCAAATAATACATGTTAACATTCTGTAGAAAAAATGTAGGCATTACAATACATTCAGTCTTTTTACTGTTGTCTTTTTGAAGGCAGGGAAAGAATCAGAATAACTGCCAGGAAAAAACTCAATGAAAAACATTCGACCCCACCCTCTATTCATGCAATAGTAACTAACTAGGTTGAGATAATTTCATTATACTTTAAAACTGATCCCATTACTATGAGGAGAATGTTTTGATTTTATACTTACCATGTTCATAATAGTTAAAACATATGTGTCAATCTGATCATTCTTGTAGTATTCCATCATTTTGGGATCCACAACCACCAATATTTCCACATTTCTTTCCAAGCTGTAAGATCGCTTTTGTCGCCTTTTGTGGTTCTTTTTATTTTCATGTTCTTCCCACCTCTCCCGCTGTTTTTCTGCTACATCTTTTTCTTCTTCTTAAAATAAAAAGAAATAGAAATATCAATAATGCCATCTAATGCATGTAATGTTATCTACAATTCTATTAATTTTTATTGCACACCAGTTATCCACCACTTCTAGAAAATAAAGACGTAATATGCACATAAGGTTCACTTTAGCCTAAAAACCTATATACATTTCCTAGCATTAATACTTTTTGACCATTTAAAACTTTTCTGACAAAGATAAATGAATAAACTTATAAAATACCATATTAAAACGTGGGTAGAAACATATTTCTATTTATTTGGATAAATGCTTTCATTTGGCATGAAATTCTCAGCTCTTGCCTAAAACAATTAGTGTGTTGGCGATAGCTGTGGCAAGGAACAAGTAGATTTTACATGAAAAAGACATATATGAACACCAGTCTCAATGACAAAGAAGGCAACAAAAAATTCTCTTATTCTACAGATACCATGACCCAAAAAAGGGTAGTAATTTTTTGGTAATTTTACCTAACCCGACCAGCCTATCTATTATATGTCTTGAAACAGACAAAAGACTCCTCCTTCCTTCTACTGTTTAGTTGTGAAATGCAATACTGTTAAATTAGGATGACCCATCTCAGTGTAGAAACCCTATGACAAATGATCAGATGGCATGTTTACTTTGTACTTTAGACAATGAAACTGTTTTTATAATATTAACCTTTCTTTTTCTAAACCAATTACTGAGGTGGGAGTTAAATATGCTCACTGTGTTCTGGACAAGCTGTAAAAGCAGATCTGCTAGATATAAAATGTTGGGTTTGTAGAAGACAAACCCACAGGCCTACCCAACTACCAGACTCGGCACCTAAGGATCCTGAATTAACCGGTATATCGGACCACGCTACCCGTTTTCAAAGTGTGTGTCAGATCGCATTTTGGAGTATCATACCCCAGAACAAATTTTGTAGCACGACTGTGGGCTCATCCACGCTCGGCTGAACAACCTTAAACTGTACTCTTACTTTAGAGTACGGNGGGGACTTTACGACATTCGGTTTGAATGTTTTAACCACTTTTGATAGGGCTTTTTTGCATTGTATTAGATTAATGTGGCAGTCTAAGGTTCATCTAGGTGGCTTTCAAAATTATGCACCCGGTTTTAAAATCATATAGCGATTTTACGACAATCGTTTACTATCCAATCAAGGTGACAGCCGAGCATGTCAGGGCTCATCCTGTCGGTGTTCTGGCTGATACTCCGAAATGCGATCTGACACACACCTTGAAAACAGGTAGTGTGGTCCGATATACCGGTTAATTCAGGATCCTTAGGTGCCGAGTCTGGTAGTTGGGTAGGCCTGAACCCAGTAGACATACTATGTAAAGAACAGCCATTGTAAGTCCCAAGGGGGTCAGATATATGTAGCAAAGGTTCTTTGTGATGAAGGTCTGTGAAATGGGCTAAGGTTCTTTTTTTATGTCTAAAATCTGAGGTTCACTTTGACAAAGGTCTGCTATGCAGAGATACATAGTTATATTCCGAGTGTCTGGTGTTCTGAGGATCTACTGTTCCGAGGGTCCGCCATTCCAAAGGTACAGATAGAGTACAAACAGCACAGAGATAACAAATTAAATTCGCTTCTTTGAAATGGAGGTCAGTGCCCTTATTGTGCGACTAATACAATTTGTTTAAGCGCAGTTTTTGCATCAATCAAATTTTTTAGAAGAACTGACCCTCGAAATTGCAGACCCTCCACAATTTGAAATACTGGACCCTAAAACAGCGTTCGATTTCTGATTAGTGTTTGGAACTGCAGATCCTCAGAATATAGGGATGTCTCCCAATGCAGAAGGCACAAAGTTCGTATTCCGCTAGGTTAGCTGTGAGCATTTGGTTAAAGTTACGTTACAAGCCAAATCATAGTATAAATAGACCCATGGTCAAACCAACAAGCTGGGAAAACAATAGAGTTTCCGGTGCCATTGAATACGATGGATAGATTGTTACGTATTCGTAAATGTAGTCAGTAACCTGCTATCGCTTTTAACATTCCGGTAAGTGTTCCAGTATGCTAGCCTTTCCTGCCATATAGAACCTTAGCATACTTAGTGTCCACATGAAAATGTAGTGTATCTAAACAAATTTTATCCAAAACTTACCTTTTCCCAGCAAAAATGCCGGTTCGTTTTGGACTATTGTAAAAAAGTATATAGGGCATATAAATGAGCAAACATTGCCTTAAATAACTATTTTTGATATTCTTCCTCACTGACTGGATACGAACACTTGTATTCTGCAGGCTCGATCTGACAAGGGGATATAAACGCTGTAAATGTCACAGTACGCACAAACGGATTACCTATAAATCTGGCCATCATATTCCACTGGTAAAGGAAACTCTTTAATGAACCAGATCATCAGTAAACTTAGGAAAAAAGATGGACAAAACTGTACAGGCTGTCAACATTTCATTGTGTCTAATGATGTTCTTAGTGATAAAACATGTTAACATTGAAAAGAAGAATATTCAAAACTGTTCTTTATTTACTGAAAAACAGTTCATTTTATGACTATGCTAGGTAAACGTCCCATAAAATGTTGAACTATGAGTCAGCTGATCCTACAACATGGACCACTACACTAGTCCCAGGTGCCACTGATTTTGAAAATTTGATGATTCAGTAATTGTTTTGAAGTCAAATTGGACAGCAGCTGCTGAGTTAACAGAAGACAGCTAACAACACCCCTGCTTCCTCTGACTACAAAACGGAATGTAATAGAAAGGTGCAAATCTGACACAACCATCAAAACAAACTACAGCCACACCCATTCTGATATTGCTTTAATCAAAGATAATACCATGTTATACAGAAGTTGACATTACAAATGAAGACATCAATTTTCATATGTTTAAATGTATTTCTCAAAAAGACTTATTGAAAAATACCGCTGGTTGCAGAATTAAACAGTCATTTTCTCAATGAAGGGTGTTTTTTTGTCTTTAACAGTTTTATCCATTTCAAACTTTTTGGTTAGAATTTGACACATGTTTTAGTTAACCAGGCTTCAAATTATATGGATTTGACAATGTGTTTATTTTATGAGACACTCTGCCCCTTTCAGGTCTGGTTTTCGTCTTAAAACAAAAATACTTCTTGGCATGTTCACCCACTTGCCTTTTACTGACAGCTATTTCTAAATCCCCATTTAATTTTTAAAAGTTATAATTTCAAAGCATTCACACCATTATCAATAACTTTATTTTCCTTTAAAAATCTGAAAAAAAAAAATCCCATTGAAACTTTTCAATAAATAATTTAAAACTTGACTGCAATGGCAATTTTCACGTAATCTGTAATAGCTCTCCTTAGATTTTGTATCCAATAACTTGACAAAAGCTCAAAACATACAAAGCTAATCCAGTTAACCTTTTTCCTACTTTTGACACTTAGACAATTTTACACAATTTAAACTCATTTCAAGGGGATTTTGATTGCTTGCAAACCTTGGAGGTTACCAACCCCTTTAACAGGAAACAACTGCTGCTCTCCTTGGCACATGTTGATTAAAATATAATTGTGTCTGGTATTTCAATTTAAAAACAGTTACATGCATACAGCACACATTCTTACCAAATCTGTCTGTTTGAGTCGTTATACATAAGCCGTGTTCACAACTAGACTTACTTAGCCCAGGGAAAGTCCAACTGACAAACTGACATCACAAGTATGTAACCACTCTTAGGGGATTTCAAACCAAGGTGCCTTTGTGTTATGATCTTTATGGTGAAATCAGGACCAAGTCCAGTCTAAGCAAATAACTTTGTGAACATGGCCATATGCTGCTCAAAGTACAACTTACAACCCCATCACCATCACCCCCAGCAGCAGAGATGGACCATTTTCATTTCAATAAAAACTCCAAGGACAGAGTCTGTATTCAAACCAACTCATGATAACGTATCATTTGTATATGTACATTATTCAATTAAATTGCATAAAATGACACTCAAATGAACAAGAATGTTCCAAAAATGGCTCCCCTTCTAAGACACTGGTCTACAAATTTGGGAGCATAATTGATTATCTAAAAAGCCAACTGCATTGCAACCCACATGTATTGGTGTCTAACAGAGAACAAAGCATTATAATGTTTGTATTATACAACAAAAATAGTTCAGCCTTAAAGGTTCCATAAGCAATAAAGGTTGGAAATAAGGCCATCCACTGACTGCCAGAGTGTTTTACTTTGTTCAAACTTGCAATCACTTGAATTGTAAAAGTCAGAAGCTGAGTTTTCAAAGTAATTGACAGCAATTGCTTTAAGGCGGAGTGAAAATTTATGACTTTATTCTAGTTAATTTACATGGAACTGAAGCAAAAAAAAATCCTTATGCTGCAAAAGCTCTTTCACTGTATCAAGGGGCGTTTAATCAGATATGGTCTGTGTGATGCATTGCTCTACTCCTGGTAATGTAAAAACAAAACAGATGTTTAAAAAGAGAGACAGCAGGGCCCGCACTCAATTTAACACGACTTAAATGCAATCACACACACACAACCACATATCAACGCACTCATTGATCTATCTCTTTATACCATTTAATTCTAAAAGAACAAGTTACAAAAATGTTCCAACCACTTTCTGAAACAGCATACTTCCCTGGCATAAAACAAGGTACTTTTGTTTTCAAAGAACATCCAGTAACACACTTGATCTTAGTAGCACTCCATCACAGTGTGCACTGTTGACTTTTCACCGATCTACCAAAATATTTCAGAAAGAAGGATAAGCAATACCAACAAGGATATTTTCAATCCTGAAAATTCAGAACAAAATGATGAATGTCTTGAAAAATCTGTTGGGAAGTTTCATTTTATAAATGTTCCATTGCTATTTTTGTATTACATAATTCACAGGTCTTTCTCCAAATAAGTGCTGTAACCCATATTTAAAAGAAAGCCTTAAAGTCCATGTATTTTGAACTTCACACCTGACTGTGAATTACTCACCTGTTTACCATAACAAAACATTTGGTCAGGTTATTTTCTTGAGACTGTTTAAACAGAAACTTTGATAAAACAGTTTCAAATAACTGGATCACTTAATATCTGGCTACTTTGCACATAACAAAATACAATCGGCATATTGAATGATGACTTTAAAATATCTTTGGATAAGGCACCTATTTAAATGTCAAATGAAACAGATACATATTTGACTGATCAAGAGTTATTCAATGTCGTTTAACAATCTAATTCTCTAATTGGTAAACTGAATCACTTAATTCCTGGTTTTATAACTGCATTGAAGAGATACCAGAAAACTTCAAAGATGTCCAAACACCAAAATTAACTGACTATTTACCAAAGAGTGGTATTTCAAATATATTACAAGGTCATACGCTTGTCTAATGAGTTAATGCGATCAAGACAGTGTGTAGACAACAACATGCCCTTTTCCTCAATTTATTTTGGACTCGGCACAGTTTAACCAGACTCAGATACTCATGATTTAACTTGTATTGAAAGAGGTGTACCCTTCTTGCTACTTAATGAAATAAAAGAGCACAAACTCCGAGATAACAGAAAAATTTTCAAATGCATAATGAGATTTAGGCAACACTTTTTTTCTGTCGATTTAACAGAAGCTAGATCTTGTGAGAATCCACACACTTAATCTATCAACTATAATATTTGTATTGATTTTATATTACTGCAAAATATGAAAATGTGTAATTTCATCATTGTATTAGCATATCATTACACAGTTTCAGAAACTTTCACATCAGCAGTTGTTGCATACAGTAATTGTAGCCAGCCAATGCAGGTATGTGGGAATCTATCTCAAGTGAGGTAATCACAGCCATGTGTACCGAAAAACAGATTTAAGCCAGGAATCATCTTATATTTCTGTAATCTTGTCCGTCTGCTTGCCTTGCCCAAAGACTGCATTATGGGCAGGGCTACAGTCAGGTAAACAAGCAAAGATTTTATGAGGCAGCTACCAAATTTTGCATTTTTGCAGAATTTTTCATTTACTAAATTCAAATTTACATAACAATATAAAATATGGATTGCCTTCTATTGTATGATTTTCAGTAAAATTAACCCCACATCTAATTATGAATTTTTCACAACATGCAAATTTGTGAAGATATTATATCATAAACATTTCACACAAACATCAAAAACATTTTGCACAAAAAATCAGTCTTCTGAACTAATTCTGATGAAACTTAGATCAATTTCATGGTAACAGACACCTGGCCATAAAATGAAAACTTGCTCCCACACCAAAGGTCTAGTGGTGGTGAGTTGGTGAAAGTGACCGACCCCTTGGGTTCCGGTCAGTGACTGGCCAAAACAATTAAATGTCCCATATTTTTTATTGGATCCAGCAACTCTCAACCAGTCTTGGCCATCTCCACCAACTCAATGCCCTTGATGTTTATTCCACACTATTCTGTTCAGGGCAAGCATCGGGGTGAAAGTAAAGTAAAGCCAGATAACACTGCCAGTGAACCCATACACAGTCAACTCAGGTGAATGGACCAATTTTTCCACCATTGAATGCACATATCAATCAACTGGTTGGGTGTTCTAAAGAATACTGATAGGTACCAAGAAGAAACTGCGTGCACAAGTGGAATTGGGATTTGCTAAAAGTAAAGGGTATGATCAGTGCAGATAGCCAGAAAATACAATATTCTTATAGAATGACTAAACTATGAATATGGGCTTTTCTAGAAAAATGGGTCTCTGGCCAGATTGTAGGAAGTAACCATCCAGGGGCTAGGTGTGTTAATGTTGGGAATGAAGTGTTAATCTTCTTCATGTTGTATAACTGATATTAAGAACCAGTTCCCATACATATAGTATAGACAAATACTAAAGGTAAGACACTGAATGACATGAGAAAAAAATTCTGACTGATGACAGCACAGATATAAACAGTAAAAGAAGTGGTAATACGGTATTATACCAAACACCTTATCAATATTTGGGTGATGCTTAAATTTGATCCCCACTGAACCAGATTCAAGGAGCTTAATCCAATTTCTGGCTCACTTGAAGTGTCAAAAATTCCGGCCTCTTCACCAAAATTGTCTTTGGGACGTAATTCTGAAGATGTCAAATAAAAAGGAAGAACCGTGATCCGCTGGCCAAACACCACTATAAAACTAGACATCCGTTTTAACACAACTGCCGTCAAGGAGTCTGAGTAACAATGAGAAACAAATTGGATATTACAATCAGAACAAAGGGTCAAAATTTACATTAAGCACTCATTTAGAGTCAAGTGGATAGGGCAAGCATGGGGAGCACTAGGGCAAATATCCCTGTCCATAAATAAATTTCATAACAAACTGTCCACTTAAAACGGCATGTTCTCTGTTGTGTCTCTCCTTTCATTTTTGGACTATTAGACAATTTGTGTTTTAATTTCATACAAGTTGGTGGTATAATATTTCCTTAAGCACATTTTACCACTTTGTTAATATCATAGACAAGCAGGTGGCAGTGTGATTCTATATTATAAACAGAAGAATATGTTTATAATAAGTAAGTTCACCCTTTGTTATGGTAAGAAGAAAAGGTTGAAACTAAAATTACTTTTGCCAAAAAAAGTCTAAATTAGGTAACTATAGACAAACAAAATAAAAAAATACTTGAATTACTACAGAGAAAAAGGTGGGATACAAAAAATTCCAACAAGTGGTTCAAACAAAGACAAAAATAGTACAAACATTAGCAATTTGGACTCAGAATTAAATAAATGAATATCATCTGCAAAAGAAGAGAAAAATCAATGCAGGAATATTTTTATCATTTGGCATTTTGTCAAAGTATACAGACACATTTGAAGTGATCTGAAGTTGTGACTGCTCCTACTTTTCTTGCACCTGTGTTATGTAATGGTCACATACTGTGTTTAATGTCAATTCCAATTGTAAACTTCTCCCACGATTTCCAAATATTTAATGCAAATATATCAATTCAAGGAGCGGCATGCCATAAGGCACTGGATGTTGGGATTTGGTTTCTCTCTGTGAGATTATCAAAAAATAGAAATCTTTCTCTGTTTTTGTTTAACGTGTAAGATTAATCTACAAATGTTAAACAAGTTGCATGAAAAAAAACATCAATAGATTGATAACTGTTATTCAGATTATGATGGCATGTAATCTCTAAAACTTGTAAAGTGAACACAGTAAGCCAAAGTCTTTTTTTATGTAACATTTTTAAAACATATTTTTTGTATATGTATGCAACCCAAAAGTCAGCTGGGAAATGTTAATAGCTGGCAAAAACTCAGGTATAAAAAACACCAAATGAAAAATTTTAAAGCACAGAAATGATGTTCTGTCTGGTGAAACCCACCTTGAACACCACAATACCCCTCAGTGCTGTCACCATGGTGACTGTGGTCGGCATGGTAACCACCTAACTCAGGAAGTAATGCCGAGCGTTTGTAGAGTATATGTGGGTGCTTGGGATCTTTTGTTGTGTTGTGGCCCTTCACAGGTTCTATGAAGTATTCCCCATGGTCTGTCCATAAGAGTCCAGTCTATAAAGATAAAGAAGAATTATGGTTAGGAAGCTGGTGATTAAAATTGAGGATTATTGTTTTAATAATCAAACTTGAACTCCTAATAAGTTTTAATAATCAAAAGAAGAATTTACACAATTGCATGAATATTTCCAAAAGCAAATAAAGTATTATTTGACTTATTATATTACAATGCCCATTTTCTTGTAACTCCTGAGATACCTAATCCTTTTTATGTTCTACAAAAGACTTTCTGTAAGATAAACATAATAAAATAGTCAGATAAACTAGCATATGTGAAATCAAAGAAAAAATTGAGTTCACAAAAGCACTCATTTATCAAAAGTTTTTTCTTTTTAATTTACATGTATTAGAACTGAAATCATAATCTTGACTACCAGTCATCACAACTGACACTACACTGACACTATCCTGACTGACTGACACAACCATCACCACTGACACTATCCTGACTGACTGGCACAACCACCACCACAAACACTATCCTGACTGACTAACACAACCATCACCACTGACACTATCCTGACTGACTGACACAACCATCACCACTGACAACATCCTGACTGACTGGCACGCCAAATATGAAAGTAAAATTTGAGACTGTATTAGCATGGGAATACTTGAAATAATTTGAGAACCCATATCCACCAAACTAGTGTCTGGTCCATCAAGAATGAGGGAGGCACCTAGCTTCCTGTTTCCAGGCAGTCTAACCATAGAGCCCCTGCATTTCCTGCCTGGGCCTCTTAAACAGGTCAAGTAATAATAAAGAGACAGGAAAAGTATGTAATACCACCTAGAGTGGCAAGTTGCTCAAGATAAAATGCAAAACAGAATGTCACATCAGGCAACAAGGTTACAAGGAGTCTACCACACTTCCTATTAGAAAAGCAGTATATGAGAGAGAGAGAGAGAGAGAGAGAGAGAGAGAAAGAGAGACAGAGAGAGAGAGAGAGAGAGAGAGAGAGAGAAAATGAAAATATGGGTAGGGTAAGCTAAACTGTCAATAGTGTTAAATCAAAACATTTCTAAAAACACCTTGAACTCTTTGATGCCTAAGAATACTTTGGGACATGGCCTTTCTACTGACTGCCGAAACTTATCTAAGGGGCATGTAGTTTTCCAAAAATTTAGTAACTTGTCAAAATAATTTAAACTAAACTTTCAACTAAAAGGTTAGATCAAAGGTGACGTCATGTATCAATTAAACCTCAAGTCAATGAGTTACAATAAAGCAATTTAACCGTTAACGTGTGCCAAGAATCATAAATTTGTTCATTTTCCAGTGTTATAACGATAAATTTCTCCTGTTAATAAATTGGTATTGTCTCAGATTGTACCAAAAAGGTAGTATAATAGACCGACCACTTGCACACTTTGCCCTGCCAAATTCTCTAACAAAATTCACAATTTGATAACAAATCTAATCCTTTAAACTCAGTAAGCCAGGAGATCAAACACATACCAGTTTTTTTTTCATAGCACTTTCAAGGAAAAAACTAAACTGAATCATTTTCTCCCATTATTCAACTGTCAATCATACGCAACTGTCATTTCAGCAGTGAAACACTCCGCAGCTCACCACCACACTCTATTAGCTGCCACATTTTAGTGGCTATCAACTCTGTGCTAAAGCAAACCATATCTGACAGCAGATGAGTGGTCCAGTTGGCAGAAATTTCTTGACACAGCAGTTCCAATTGGACATTAGGGGTTGGATAACCTCAATGTTAATTTAGACGCAGGAGAGGCAGAAACCAAAGTGCAATCATGAAATAAGTTTGAAAAACATAACATGAAAGGAAAAAATATTTGCTGAAATATTAGACTGATTTCAACTCCAAAGTTCATTTGCATGGAGCTTGTCCTGGTATGACCTTGGGTGCAATAAGAAAGGCACAAGGTAGAGATTCTTATAGATAGATATTATAGATTTGGTATTGAAAATATACCAAATTTAATAATCTCAAATCAGTCAATCAGTTCTTTCTTCCCAATTGTTTTATCACAGCAGCTTAGCATATTCTTTAATACTCACTCTCTTTCTTTCTTTCATTTTTTTTCCATACCCTAATGCACATACAAATGTATATATTATGGCTTTACCATATACATAAACTTGACCCAATAGAAGTGGAAATTAGCCCTATTCCTGGACTGTCAACACTTTTTTATGACAAAACCAAACAGAGGTTTTATGGATCAAAATAAAAACAGCAAAAACAAATCAAAAGGCAAGATCCAACTCCAGAACAGTCACTTCAGTTGAGTTTTTTTCAGAACATAGACAGTGGGTAGGCCCTTAATATTATCTGTGATTATCAAGCCATTAAATTCTTTAAGTACATACCTGTTTACAGGTAGAAGAATGCTAGGTTATCAGCTACATCTCAACAGGTTAAATGTGTCAGGGCAAATGGTGAGAGAGAGAACACTTTTGTGAATATCCAGAAATAAAATAAAAGGTATAATACAAGTACATATTTTAGTTTTATGAAAGAAACTTCCAATGGCTTTTGGTAAAATATTAAAAAACACCTGGTTGGCTGGCCTGACAAATATGAAATATAAGGACTTAATTGGTTAATTAACTATGCTGTGTATGTGTATGTGTGTGGGGGAGGAGGGGCTTTAGTTAGTTCACTCTCTTATGTTAAAGCAAAGATATTATTTTGTCCTTCACTCAAAACATACTAGTTGTATTGCCAAGATATAACACCCGTGCCCCCACCCCCTCCCAAAATAAATATGTGAAAATGTCATAAGCCACCAGTTACGAATAATGTCGGTTTATGGTACTCAACAAAATCTTCAAAGTTTGACATTTGCAGGACCACCAAATTTCAAAACAATTTTTCATGAAATTTTGTTATGTAGGGGACCACCAGTTCACCATCTGCCTCCCCATACTTTTCCATGTATGCACCAATGTTCTGAGTGGATCTATCAGCTGCATTTATAGTCCATGTGGTATTTGCACACCAGACATACAATGGGAGGCAGACAGTTAACAAGAACAACTATGGCATATGGTGCTATGAAATGCCACAGGTTTCATCCATAAATAAAGTCTCAACTTTTCATACCACCTTTAAACAAATCAAGACATCTTCTTGTGAGAGTATAGCCCCATTCACACCTACATGGTTAATCGAGATTAAGGGAATCGCGATTCTAACGCGCTTAGCTAAATTCACTTTTTTGCGTTCACACATGTAAAAACGAAATCGCGATTTACCTTGCTGGATCTGGTAATTGCAACTGCGCTCCCTAGGGGAGTCACGGTATATCCTGTTGATCATGCGCAGTAGCTGCCTTCAAGACCATGCTTTCGGTGTGTACGGTGTTATTTTCTGTTTAATACTCTCATCGGCCCAAATATTTAGTTATGCTGCCACTGAGTTTTCAGACCAGTACGTCCTCGTGGCCATTTTGCTGACTGCTAAGAAACTTGAAATTGCGTGGACAGTTTCTTTTCTTTCACTTTCCAGTCGGCGAATAGATGTATTTAGCTAATGTTTCGTTTCAATTTATACCCGACATGAAATAAAATTTATTGTATTGTATTGTACTTTCGATATAAACTGTGCACGCGCCTAAGTCCTCAACTTCCGGTGTTAACATCGATCCCGTTCTCACTAGGAAATTTTATATCGCGATTTAAGTTTACATCGATAGAATCCACCTCTCGAGTAGGATTAATTTGAATCGCGATTTGGCGTCTCGACTGCGTTCACACTAGAAGCTTTACATCGATAGAATCGCGATTTGGGCTTAATCGCGATTGAAAGTGTCTCGTGTGAATGGGGTTAGTGAGCTCTTATCTTCCCTACACAAGAAAATTGTCTTGAAAATATTCAAATACTCAACTTTTGCTCATATATATAACCTATCTTAATCTAATCTTTTTGTCAAAAATATTATGTATGAATGGAGTTCATAAAAAATTTCATTAAAATGTGTTGTTTCAATCGAATCTATTTGAATTTTGCACTCGTGCATAGCTGTTTGCAAAAAATCCTCCTCGTTTCTATTTCATTTGCCAAGTTGCAGTTCTGGGATCACTTTTTTATATATTCTAATTAAAAGATAAGCCCATCTCAAATGGTATATAACTAGAACAAAAGCTTACATTTTCTTTTGCCAATAAATTTTACAACTTGCAATGACCTGAATTTTTCTGTATGGACTGAAATCTGTACCTTGAAATCAAAAGAAACTTTGTTCAAGAAAAACGAGTGCAAGTCAAAAGAGAGGAAATGCCACCACTCTGTATGCATGCACACCCAAAATTTTTTCACACTTTAAACGTGACAGTGCAGAATATTTATTGAAACACACTAATACCAGGCTGAAGACCAGGTGCAAGAGAAGCCATCACCTGTCACCTTCTGACGACTGAAACTACTCGTCATCCTCACACCTGCAAACTTCAAGGATAACAAACTTTTGACCTGATTCTCTGGAATCTTTAAGTGCAGTCTGCTATACTTGTCTATGAACTTAGTCCCCATAATTTTAATAATAATAATATAAATCCAGTTTGAAATAAAAAAAGTTAAAAGTTTAATGCTCCATCAAATTTGAAGTCAGATCAGTGATGGATAAAACAAAACTTTTTAGAAATGTAAATTTAACCAAAGTAATTTTTCTGTAGCACCTATCAACAAAATGATGTGCTTAATTAGTTTAGCTTTATTACTATCACCTCGAGTTTACAAAGAGTAATAGAATTGTAAATTTCATGTTCTGACAATCAACTGCATTACTTCAGACAGTGACTTATTTCATGAAACCACCATCACTGCCTTAAACTGGACACTTCAGTGGATTCTACTTAATGGATGGTTTCAAGTAGATCCCTCTTGTAAACATAACAAATGATCAAATACTGATCTTGCATTCTGACCAGACTACCACATTGAAAAAATCTCCTAGGCACAGCATGTACTTAGACACTGTTAACAAAGAGGAGGCTCTGTTCACAAAACCATGAA